CAACAACAACACCAACAGCAACAACAACAACAACACCAACAAGAAAAACAAGAACAACAACACCAACACCTACAGCAATAACAACAACACCAACGGCAACACCAACAACAGCAACAACAACACCAACAACAACACCAACAGCAACAACAACAACAACTTTTTTGCTTGCTTGCCTCCACTGAGCGGTTTGCGGACAACTGTTTGAACAGAAAATGTCGTCACCACTGTAGTGTTAGTCACAGTCTTTGACTGCGCGCAGGGCCTGCTGGCCGTTGCGGTGGTCCACATCTCGCCAAAAAAGGTGAATCAAATCAAATCTTACGATCCTGCAACCTCATTTACTGATGAGGGCTGGGCCCGGAGGGGTTTCAAGAAGGCCCCTCCAAAGTAGGCACCGCAAAAAAACAACATGAAGCCAGAGAAGGCTCAGGGTTCAGAAAAAGTCGTATCAAATCTTGGCTATCACTCAGAAAAAAACCGGCTCACTCACCCAAAGGTCCCTCAGCTTCTGCCAACCTGTCTTTTCGACCCGAACTACGAGCAAGAGGACCAGCAGGTCCAACATCCTTGGATTCAGCTTGCAAAGTTTCCAAAGAAGCATCCATCCACGAAAAGGCTTCCTGCCAGGCAGCCAAAGCACTCTGCTTTCTGCCATCACGGATGCTCTGTATAAAGCACAACTGGATGCTCTTGCTCATGTCTTCGCTTTGGGTCATCTGGTCGTGGAGCTCAGCGAACTTGGCCATCAGTGCCCGGCGCTCTGGTGACTGGACAAGCCACTTGGCCAAGGCGGCTGCGACTGTGTGTCTCGCCGGTCCTTGTGGATGAGCTTGCCCTTTGGGCGGAAGCTGGTCCTTCCAGGCTTTCATGTGCGCCGCAACTCGGTGTCGGCGGAGAGGATGTAGGTTCGAGTCGACCAAGCCTCCAACTCTCTGAGGGTCTGGTCGTGGGCGCAGACCAGCTGGCACACTTGCTGAAGCTTCCGGCTCAAGTCTTCCACCTTCTTCTCCATGCTCTGCTGCTGGTTCCCGGCTTGTTCTGGACGAAAGCGCTGCTGTGGGCGAGCAGAGGGGCTCGCTGCCGGCGCACCCAAGAACTCGAGGCCCGGCATGAGTGACAAAGAAAGCGTCCAAGGTTGACTGGCGTGGCCTTGCCCTTTCCACTCCAAGGGGTGCTTGAGCCTCGACACCAGCAGTGAGACGCTGACCAGCAAGAGCACCTGCTTGTCCATGATTTGTGACTGGCCGACCACATGACCGGTTCTTGTTCTCATGGACTCAATCGCCTGAACACCAAAACCTCCACTCTGCACGAGACGCTTGGCTGGAACATAAGTTCTACCTCATGGAGTTGTGATTGGTGATTTGCGCAAAATGGCAGTACACCCATTCACCAGTGACTCAATAGGTGGCTGCCCCTTCAAATCGAAGTTCACGAGCTGCTCCCTGAGTTCAGTCTTGGCAAGTAGGTGATGAAAAAGACTTGTCATATGTACTCAAATCAGCACCAACCACATCCAGATCAAGCGCAGCTCTATGACACATCTCAGCATATTTGTACGCATTTGTGCCAACAAGTATAGGGCTTGGAGAAGATTTGTAAAAGTTGTTGACGGGACCGGAGACCCTCGACAACACCTCATTGCCAGCAAAGGCAATGTCATAGACACTGCGAATCTTTGGCTTAGAACTCAGTGCACGTCTTGACCGCAACATCCCATACCACATCTGTGGACATGTCGTTGCAGTGTAGCTGTAAAGGAACTGCCATCCACATAAAGAGATTTCCAAAACGTCTGAGCTGCCTGACTCGCAACACTCCAAACACGCTCGTCTGTTTTCCTTGGGGCAAATGAGTGCGGTGCAAGCAGATACAGCGGAAATCAGCGGAACCTTCCCATCATAGTGAGAAACTATCTCATCTCTTGTATCACAATGATTAAGCGCGATACCATAGAAATAACCGCCACTGGAATCTTTGCTAACAAGTTGACGGTTGGTTCTCGCCTCTGTCCAATCCGCTGGTACAAGTTGCTTCTTCAGTGATGAATAAACATATCTGTTTGCAATCCTGCCGGCGAGATTGATAAAGCAATTAGTATTCTGCCGGTCTTCAGTGAGACAAAATCTCTGGTCGTCATCCTCAAAGAAATCTGACTTAAGCAGTTCTAATGCAGCTTCAGGTCTACCAGCCGCTCTCCGTCTTGTAGAAAGAGCTTCAGTATTTTCTGATTGACTGGAGCCTGCTTGTTCTGCCAACTGCAAATCTTCCACCCAAGGATGATCTTGACCACCCGGCAAAATCCATTGCTCATTACTACCGCAATCAATTAAATTAGGCATTGGCATACTTGTGCCTGAGCCATACTTCTCGAAAGCACATATTCATAGAATATGATAGCAAAACCAAGCATATATGATCCATGCTTGGGTTTTGCAACAACAACAACACCAACACCACCAACAACAACAAGAACAGCAACAACAACAACACCAGCAGCAACAACAACAACCACAACCACTAACTACAACTACTACAGCAACACCACCGACCACAACAACAGCCACAACACACACACAACAACCATACACAACCTCTGGTGGTGGGCCTGGTGGCCCGCTGGTGGGCGTCAGCCCCTTAAATAAGTTGACCTTTTTCAGAGTTAGCTATCGTTGGGGTGTGTGATGGCGAGAGAGAGCAAACCGAGCTGGACAACACCCGTGCCTTGGAGCTTCTAGAGAGCTATTCCTCGGGAGTTTCTTGCCAGAACTTTGCTTCACTTCGGGAAAGCTAAACAATGAATGCTATATGTGGAAAATGAATGAACATGTGCTTGCTAACTGCTCACCCAAGGCAGAGACAGCCAAAAAAGTTACGAGGATAGACCAAATCGCGCGTGCAAATCGCTCCCACTCACAGCGCCTTGGCGTACGTATATATAAGTATGATGAGCTTGTGAAATACACTCTCAGCAAACCGAGCCATCCCCCTCTGGTGCCCAGGGACTGCAGATCTTCCTTGCAAGATCGCATCGGAGGCCAACAGCAAGACCAATGTGACAAGGAACCTGACCGTTGCAATCTACAAAGCTGGTACGTCACTTCAAGTTCCTATTGATGTAGTTCAAAATAGTTCAAACGACCATCAGGTTTCGCAAGAAGGAAGTCAGAATCGAACGTGTTTGGTGGCCTGTTCTTCCGATG